CCCACCCTTGCATGGCCAGCTTCACTTTCAACGACTTGTCAGCTGGTCGCTCTGTTATCTGCCGTGGCTCTGGCGTTGAGCCGGGGGCGCCCCCGCCAGGTCACAACCATTCAAAGCACCATGATTGCGTGCAAAATCGTAGGCCCACCACCTTTTTGTACTACTGTCGGTATACGCAGTGAAACCGTATTACCGTCCGCTTACAAGGCAACAAGGCAGCAGGTATGAGGCTCTGCAGACCCCTCCCCACCGCGTGATCACAGTAGCGATCCTCCTCTATACGTGGATTGATTCTAAAGGGCGATTGCCTTAGCTAGATTGAACTACTGCAGCAAGTGGTCTCGCGTTCATTGTGCCCGATGATCGTCCTTCAGTTTGCCTGCTAAACTCAACGTCAAGGGTTACACGACTATTAGATACGTCAGCCTGACACGAGAGGACGCCTACCTGAGGGCAGCAGCGCTACGTCAACGCTTGAACCTCACAAGGGGGATGGTCGAATCTATTCCATTCAGCCTTACAACCAAAGCTTGCCCCGATTTGCCCTTCCTCTAGAACATTTTCCACAGGGATGGGAGCATAGGAGACTTACAGATGGAACCCTCCTGTTATGCCACTTTGAAGCACGCAAAAGTCTCCTAGACGCTTTCAATGAAACCCTTACATAGCGAAGCGCCACGGTTGGGGAAATGGGAAGTCTCCGCGTTCTACTCTGCACAACGACCCATTGAACTAAAACGCATCACGCCCTCAAATACCATGTTCTGCGATCCGAACCTCAACCGGCATTCAGCAGATGCAGTTGCACAAATTGCATCACAAAGGTGTTCGTGGAACTACATCCCAGAACAAGAAGACGCTTCCCCCGTGGTCAACGGCAGGTCGAATGGGTTGGCGAACAATCATCCTGAGCCAGAGCCGGGTGTGCGATCTCGCGCCATCGAATTTGAATGCCGCGAGTCTCTTCCTGGCCATATCCTTGGCCGGTTGAAGAGGAGACCAGTGCCTTCCATTTCAGACTATGACTGCATACGAGGACGTGTCATCAGACAGTTTCCCAGTAGCTCTGTTGCCATCCTCGATGTGATTACGGACGATGCAGACGCTTTCGCGGGCAGCAACGTGGTGTCGAAAGACCCATCAAGGCCGCAGCACAACAGCCGGCAAAGCCCCCAGCGACTCATCCTGAAGTACTATCCGGCGGCGGAGATCACTCGTGACCCACGACGAACCGGTCGGGATTTTGCACCCCTCTTTTTCAATGAGGTCAACGCATATGCCCAGGCGAGGGTTGCACAGGGAACAGTCCTGCCATACGTATGTGGGGTGTACGAGGACGCAGGTGCCGCTGTCGTGACGGGCTTATATCTCGTCATGGAATATCTTCCACACTCGACAACACTGAAAGACATGGACAGCCATCTCCGATCAAGCTCGGCGTCCGTCCTGCGTGAGAAAACTGCATTTGCACTGAAGTCACTGCACTCCTGCGACGTCTCACACGGCAGCATGAAGAGCAACCAATTGCTCATTTGTGGTGATTTCCATGGCGCGAATGAGTCTTCTGCATTTTCAGCTAGGGACGATTGGTTCGTTGTCATCGTTGACCTGCAGTACGCGAGGTGAGCATCCTCCTCTCACCCTCTTGGGCCGATCTGACATCCTCCTAGGTTTCATCGCGATAAACACGAGCTGGATTCTGCAGCTGAAGTTGACCGGCTTGCCCTGCGAGAAGCATTTTCCTACTGTGGCTGCAAAGCTGAAGAAGACGACTACGACGAAGCGTATCAACAATTTGTCAGGGAGCGTCAGTCGTTCATGGGTTATTGCTGAGAAGATGGCCGCTTTGAGTGATGATCATATTGCCGACAACTCATCGGCTTCAAAGAACTCATCGTCGCTGCCTGACTCGGAGAATCGATCAGTTTCTTTCTCGGGGGGAGATTGTTTGTGTCCCAGCTTCAGCGCCGCAATCCATTCTTCCATAGTTCTGATAAACTCTTCGCTTACAGCATCACTCCGTACCCCGTGTAAAATATCTTGTGCGCTATACCCAAATACATCTCTCGCCCCAGGATCCAATTTTGACAAATCGAACCCCTCATCCAAAAACACCTTCAACGTCTTCATACTCCCCTTGGACGCAACACGATGTAAAATCGACTGCCCCACGTCATCACATATAGCGTAATTCGCCCCCCTCCCCATCAACACTCTAATGACATCCACGCTCTCGTAATCAATCGCCTCAATCAACGGGGTCGAGCCGCCTATACTCTGTGGATCAATATGCGCGCCATGGTCAAGTAGGCAGGTCGCCATTTGCGCTCGATTGTTCAAAGCGGCACGGTGCAGCGCTGTTTTTCCTCGACCAGATGCGCTTGGAGTTAGAACAGCATTCACGTCCGCGCCACCATCGATCAAGGCCAGCATGTAAGCGGGATCATCTTGATTCATTGCCGCGGTGTGCACGGGGGGCCAGCCGCCCCAGTCGCAGTAAGAAACGGATGCTTGAGCATTAACGAGCAAGCGCACACATTCGGGGGATTTGCTCCGCAGCGCATAGTGCAATGGGGATGCTTTGAGTTTCGAGCAGATATTCGGATCGGCGTCATGACGGAGTAACTGGCCGACAATCTTGGCGTCACCCCGCTGAGCAGCCCATGACAGAGCAGTGCGATTCTCGTGGTCCACGGCGTCGACCTCGGCTCTGGAAGACTCAAGGAGTTCCTGAAGTTCGATGCGAAGGAGGCCGAGGAGGGATTTGTGGATAACGGAGAAACCCATTTCTTCGAGCACGTCGCCTGAGCCGAACAGCCGTTTGAAATTCTCTGCGAGGGGGGAGTTGTCGGGCTGTGTGAGAATGACGGTCCAGGCTCTGTCCACGGCGGAGCTGCCTACGGCGTTTTCGATCGTCGGGTCGGCGCCGGCATGGAGGAGGAGGTCGCAGACTTCGGGGTGGCCGAAGTCGATGGCATACTGTCCGTCGTATTAGCTGCAAATTCTACAGATCCGGGGGACGGTCGCGTACGTGTAGCGCTGTGTTCCCGAAACTCGTGTGCACCTCATTAGGATGAGCGAGCTTCTTTGAGAGTATGTCCTGCGCGGCGAGCACATTACCTTGGGCGGCGAAGATGAAGAGTTCGGAGCGTTGGACTACGGGGCGTATTGAAATATGAATGGACATTTCGGAGAGGCTGTTGACGATGCCGAGGGAGACGGCGCGGGAAAAGTACCAGGAGGGAAAGTGGTAGGTGGCTTTAACACTAAAGGTGGTGTTGCGAACGCAGGATGCTTTTGAGCATTTTTGTCGGCCTAGTGGTAGGCCCGAGTAACCCAAGAAGAGGCTTCCGAAGATGCCTTGGAATATCTTGGGCGTGTTGAGGGAGTATTTCTGGTGACAGATACAGCTACACCATGTCTTGCAGGAACCTCGGCCGAAGCGAGAGACTGTCACGCCGATTTGAGAGATTGATGATTCCCCAGTGTTGATGGCGTCCATGTGGAATGCCATGTTGGGCGACAAGTCGACCAGAGAAGTAACCCGTTTATTGACAGTTGCGTTGGCGGATCTGACGTCTTTCCATGTGTTATGGAGCTGGCCCTTGTCTTCAGATACGAGTGATGGAGTCATCTCTCTGGTCTTGCACAGCACAGCTTGAACGGTGTCGGTCTGCATCCTTTCGTTTGCGACCCTTGCGGCTCTCGTAGCTTGCGAAATGTCAAGAAGGGCCAGGTCGACTCTGACGAGTCCGGAAGCGGAAGCGATGGCTTTTCTCAGCTCCTCCCTTAGGGGGTGAATTTGTTGCAGCAGAGATGCGAGCTCACACAACTTTTGACGACGATGTGCTTTTGTTGCACGACCTAGTAATGATGTCGGGTGGCCCAACGCGCTGAGATAGCCTTGCGCTGCATCATCGATGCGGGGTAGAATTTCTTCGAGATGGACGAGGATTCTTGAGATGGCAGGAAGCGGGCGATGCCGCCGTCCGGGTTCGACATCATCAGTATTATCTCTGCCAACAATGTCCGGGAGAAGGACCTTCAGATCGGTGACTTCGTTCTTGAGCGCAAGGATTTCGTCCGGACAGCGGCCGACTGATCTGCGGATTTGCTCGAGTCTGGTGTAAACGGTGCTGAGACTGGCATTAAATGCGTCGACCGACCCATTTTCTTGGTATTCTTCGAAGATCTTCGACATTGGTGCAAATTGATCGTTTGTGTCCTGCTGAATGCAAGTGGCCTGGACTCGCTGACGCAGAGCTTGTTGAGCTTCAGCCTCAGGCCATATCTCGTCCGGCCATTGCCCCGCCTGGTCTCGGTGGAAGATGGCAGACGGCCCAAGCAGTGTTGATCCCAGCTGCAAGCACAGTCTAATTTCTCATTGGATTGTTGAAGTTGGAAAAATCCGGGGACGTGGATTAAAATAAGAGCCAAAGAAAGGAGGAGTACCTAGGTGGTGTACTTTTGTGTGAAATGTATCGTTTGTATCCAGTATCTTACCGTATGGGAAACCCGTTATTCTGGGCCGGCGCTAGGACAAGGCAAGTAAAGGTCTCGAGACGTTCAGTTGGGCCGAAATTCACAATCCAGACATCGCATCACTAGGGTCAGGCAATTAGTGCGCGAGTGCTGCGCCTGACCAGAGCGTGCAGACAGCTGCAGGGCGCCGGCTTTGCTCGACGGACCTTTCGGCACACACTGCAGGGATCTTCTGCTCAGCCTAGTGACACTAGCCCCTACCAAACGGAACAACTCACTCACATAGGAACCGAAACTCCCATCAGGAGCCCAACCGACCAGACAAACGGTGCCCGACATATATCTTCGCTTGGCTTGGGTCAGGATTCAGTGCTCGGATTTCTTGTCCGCTTATATAGGACAGCGTGTGACACTTTCCTCGAGCTTTCAGCCTTGTGTTTCAATCCCGGGTTACCTCTCACCACCGCCGCCACCAGGATGTCGACAATGCCCGCAACACCATGTCGTGACGACCCAGAATGAGCTTCGGATTTAGCCTAGGTGACCTGGTCACGGTCCCACAGTTCGCATGGAACGTGTACCACACATGCAAGAATTCGCCCTCTGAAGCTCGAGTCATCGCATCGGAGCTATTCACCCTGTGTGGTATCCTACAGACCTTGGGCGACGGGAGGGTTCATTATATGCGAACGCTGGCAGAGTCCGACAGGCTCCAACTACTGTCGGCCTACAATGTGTGTCGCGATGTGCTTCAGGATATCTCCACCACTCTGCGCAGGCATTCTGAGCTGAGCAAGGACAACCCCCATCTCTTTGCGCGCCTCAAATGGGGCGCCGAAGACGTCCCAGCGTTGAGGCTACGCATCATCTCCAGCACGTCGCTGCTAACTGCGCTCCAAAGCAGTCGACAGTCGTAAGGAACCTAGGCCCTCCGATTTTGCCATGGACTAACATCTGCTTAGACTCGTGGAGTCCAGAATGGAGGGCAAAGTTGACGAAATCCTCTCGCGACTGGGAGCGCCACCATGTGAGCGGATTCAATCACAATCAAGGGTTAACATGCTCGAGATTGAGGGCAAGGCCCCGCAGCTCCTCCTAGCAAATGGGAATGAGAACAGCTTCGCGACTTCATCGCAATTACACCAAACCTCGATTCCCCAGCTCGTCGCCTTAACCAAAGGCACCCAGGCACCCACGCTCTCAGACCCATCAGCACTACGCCTCACACCATCCTCCCGGCTACTGGTCTCGCTCACATCGCCCTTCTCCCATGCCAAACCATCCAGCACCAAAGCGGACGCTCTCCCCCGCGCCGCTGCCGCCTCCAACCTCCCCAAACTCCAGCACCTTCTAGCCTCTGGCTATCCCGTGGACCATCTCGACAGTAACCATGGCTACACTGCTCTGCACAACGCCAGCATGTCCGGCTCCCTCACCACTCTCGCCCTCCTCCTCTCGCACTCCGCCTCGGTCTCCACCCCGGACGTCAATGGTGCAACAGCCCTCCACCACGCCGCGCAGAATGGACACGTCGATGCGTCCCTTTTACTCATCCAGAATGGTGCCGATGTAGATGCGGTGGACAGCGCAGGACACGCGCCATTGTTTTATGCTCTGCAGAACGGACATCTCTCTGTTGCGAATGCCCTGCTAGGAAGCGGTGCGAAGATGGGGTTGGTGGAGGATAGGGAGCGGACACATGATTATTGGGCGAGCAGACTTGCTCTTTACTTCGAGGAGGGCGGAGGCGATGAACAGAACTATCCGCGACTCACGGTTGGCGACAACAACCACAGGGATGAATGAGGATGGGCAGTGTCTTGTCAGGTCGACCTCGTGTCCTCCAGATGTCATCCACCGCGAGAGAGACATGTCGAACAACATCCCGAAGTCTGATCGCAGAATTCACTGTCCAATCGATCCGTGTGATTTCCCTGGCAAGATCATCGAGGGTGCTTTCCATAAATAGATGCCTTGTGAAACTTGCTGAGACGGAAGCGAGGTATTGGCTTGAACCTCTCAGCTTCCAATTTTGCGCTCTCCAATTGAAGAAAGTTTGCATATGATTGACTAGATGGGTTGCGTGATCTGATCATGCTGGAAGATGCTGAAGGCACGGCACCTCGCAAAAGCAACAACAATATCACCCCCCGGTACAGACCCTATCCTTCGTTGTATATTGTGGTCTTTCATCTATCATGACAGATGAGCCCTTCAACGCTACGCCATGTCCTACCGTCCGAAGTTATGCTGTTCTAGGTGCGAGGTTTAAAAGGCGTGTCAAACCCCCATTTCCGAGCATTCGTGATCGATTCATATTCTATTTGGTTTGTTAGTTTAGTCTGTAAAGCACTCGGCAGAATACACACGTAGCTCTAAACCTAGAGCATAGACGGGATAGTGGAAACTTTCCTAGGTAATATATTATGTTATATTGTGTTCTATGATGCCGGAGATATTAGCTCGTCCGGCCCTTGTAATGCCATTTTATGATACACTAGGCATTCGGCCTTACGTTTCCTCTTTCGGTGGATGACCCGACCTGCTACAATAAAACAAGAAAGGTGAGCTTTTGACGAAAAATATTAAATAGATCTAATTCTCTCGCTGTTCTTTGTGCAATTTACCAATCTGCCCATGCAGCTACCCACACGCATATACTCCATAATTGATGATTTTGTACGCCGTACCAAGTGAACTCGCGACAAGGACCTGAGCGCCTTCCTTCCTTCCTCTCTTCCCTGCCAGCCTGATCCACAGCCCCTTTTTAGCCCCGTATTGAGGGCCTCGTTTGCAAAATCATGCAGGGGTTTCGTGTCCCAACGGGCATCAGATACATCGAGGTGTGAGTCTGTGGCGCATCCACACACTCCTTGCGCCGTCGGTGCCGCCGTCGGTGCGCAGCTGTGCAAGCAATCCGAGTTTCCCCAGCGCGAGGACCTACTCTGCGGCTCGACATATCGCTGCTGTGTTTTGACCTTGACCACCACATCCCGAAGCCAACGCCAGAATAATCTTAAAAGCTAAAGCAAGATCACACGTGCACTTCCGCACCCCACACAAGTCGACTTTGTTATCACAATTCAAGCAAGCAAGCCGGTCTGACTGGTTGGCGAGCTACCAGTAGGGTCGTCGCTTAATCTGGACGCGAAACAGGTATCGGATGAGAACGTGCGCGGGATCGTAAAGCGCATATTCGTTGAATCCAAGAACGCCACCGGAGTTGGTGTCGCTGTACGGGACAGTCGTTTCCGGCTGTGAAAGCGTCAGGCGACAGAGATTAACCATGCCCTTATTTTCGCGGGACGGATGTGACATGATTTGAGGCGAAGGTAAAGTGAACGAAAGAAAATGGAAGAGGAGGGCTCGCTCCTCAACCACACATACATACCATCCAAGGCATCCCGTCACCTACGCCAGGCTCTAATTCCCACTCAACTCGCTTCCACCTCGCTGGGCCTGTCCGCCCAAGTCCTTCGATGCACCTGTGTCGACCGCAAGACTGCTTGATGAGCTCGTGCCCGTTGTAGATGCTCGTCTGCGTCCGGATGCGCGACGCCCCGACGTCGGCTTCGCACAGAAGCAGAACCCCCTGTCCGTCCCATGAGTCGTACTTGCAGAAGCTAGCAGACTTGCTCGACGCGTCGGCGAGATAGATGCCGTTGCCGAACATGGTCCCGGTCCAGCTGGCACCATGCCGACGGATCTGCAGACCCAGGTCGAGGATGCCGAGGAGCGAGTCGAGTGGAGTCCCGTGCCACAGGAGGAATCTCATTTCGCCACAAGGGTCGTTGAATTTCTTGGTCTCGATCCAGTCATAGTACGGGTTCGGTAGCTTGGCCTTCACGAAGACCCGGTAGATCTCCTGCAGCTCCAGGGTCAGGCAATGGATTCGGTGGCAGGAATTTTCAAGGTAGCTTTTGAGCTGACGGAATTCAGGCGTGGAAGCATCGGTCAGGCGGCGGAAACCATGCCGCAGGGAGCTGTAAGCTTGGTAAAGAGGTTGAGCGAGGGCCTTGTACGCATTGAGCTGGAGCGATCCTCTGCAATGCATTGCAGTGGCCATGTTGGCAATCTCCCGCCGAGGCCAGAGGCAGTACAGGAATTGAAATTCAAGGAATAGGGCGTGGTAGCTCGAGACCACTGGCGGACGGTCGTCCCCGGAGCAGAAAGGAATCTGGCTACGGTATTGCGATGACAGCCTCAGTATAGTCTTCCAGTTGATAGTGCTGCCGGATTCAAGATGTTTTCGGATACGATCTAAGGTCTTGAACGCCGAGAAGACGACCCATGAACTAATATGCTCATACGGGGCGGTGAATGCTACCCATGATCCCGACGTGCTCGGGTTCTCGCTGGTGTTACCACTCCGTAGAGGACCGCCAAAAAGGGTGCGCTCCATCAAATCCTTAACTTCATCATTGATTTTCGCGTCAACCGCTGCATATTGTGGGAGCTTTTTAGGGCGTACAGTGGTTCTCTGATAGTCTAGTTCGACAAACGTGAATCTTCCTTGCCGGCGCGACAGGGGTTCGTATCTTTTAGTCCATGTCGTAGAGGTTTTGTCCTGGAAAAGCCTGCGAAACTTAGATATGACAAGAGGCAGGTTTTTGGACTCCATTTCGATCCTTGCAAAACCCTCGAGTCCGACACGGCCTTCTCGGGTCAAGAAGGAGTACATCTCAGTCTCAGGGTTGAACACGACCTGTTGAATACGATGCAGTTAGCCAGTCCGCCTCGGTCAACAAATGCGACTGACGTACTTGATGCCTTCGGAAAAAGTTTATATTCTTCATAATGTCGGCTCGGAGGAGGTAAGCGTCGTATATCGACATCCTGGCGCGATCTGTCACGACAGTAGCATCGAGACCTGCTCTGGAATCCACAGGGACGAAGAGCCTTCCCCAATCCTTCACCTGGGTCCGAAAATAGCCGTAGTGTGAAGTGCGTCTCGACCTTGTAGAGAAAGGCCGTATGTATGCAGCGTACAGGGTGTCAAATTCTGTGCGGGTTTCCTGGTACCTCCTGCTCTCACTCAGGAAAATATCATAGGTCTCCCAGTCGGAGGTTATGCGGGGAAGGGGGACAGCTGGACGAGGCATCGGCTGCGTCGATGGGACCGGGGCAGCATCCTGGTTTGCCGCTTCTGTAGTTGTTTCATCGTCAGATAGAGGGAGTGCGCACAGTATGTCGAGGATCTCGGAAGCGGTTGTATGTCCTGCTTCAGCGTTCTTAGTGAGCTTCGCTGGGTTGACAGTCCCCGGCGGATCTGGAGCCCACAAGGGTTGCATGGGATGGCGTTCGGGCGATGATTCAAGTCAGAATGGGAGATTCTGGTGAAGATACATTCTACCATGATCTCCGTCAAGAGGGGTCGTTACACAGCGAGCAATTCTTCAGCCTCATGCGGCATATGCTGATTTCGTCAGTCTAGCGAGGGATATGTTGGTTAAGTTCAGATGTTATGCAGATGTGAAATATAAAGTAGAAGAAGAACTCTACGGCTCGAGTATTGAAGTGGTCATCATTCCATGAGGCCGGTAACTCGAAACCGGGCGGAATTTGTACGTTTGACGTTCAGGATCTGGACCTGCCGTCACGAGACACGCCTGTCCTATTTCAGGCAGGCGCCAGTCGGGACAGCCTTCCTTCTGCTATTACCTTCCTTGGCGCCTCGTACGGGGACCTTGTTTCGCCCAAGTCAAAGTCAACCGGAGAAAGGGATACTCGGTACTAGTGCTGCGGAACATCTTGGGTTGGGAAAAGCAAAAGGCTGAGCGATGAATCATGGCGTGAGCAGCGAGCTGGCCTGGGAGTCTTCGAAGCAGAATCCGTCTCTGCTTTCCCAGAGGAATGGTGGAGGTTAGTGGAGCCAAAGAGAGCGGTCCATGGCTGCCTGACAGTGTCAACTCTACAGGTCCTCGTTGCAAGGCGGAAGGGCCAGAAGGGCGTACAAACTGACCCTAAGCAGCCTCAGTCGCGGCGTCGTCGCTACTGGAGCTACCGTAGTAGCCATTAGGCAGCTGCATGATGAGCTAAACCACTTTGAGACGATGGTGACGAGGAGTTCTTGGATGAGCCCCGCTTTCCCCGCTCTCGGCTATTCTTGCTATGTTCCCCTTAGCTACGAGTATCTCGGCACCGAGTACTCTGGCGAAAGAAGCCAGATCAGGCTTGTCGAAGGCTTAAAGGTTCAGTTTTAACCTTAACGTCGGATAGGCAAACTCTCCCTCAAGTTGTTGTATGACTGACCTCAACTGTTTAAGTCTTTTGAGCTTATTATGCGCTGGAACCCAACCATGCCAACCCCTTCAGGATTGTCGAGACCGAACGCTTGCCACAGCAAGCATGTAATGTGGCCTCTTAGTCTAAAAGCCTGCAGACAATTCTCAACTCTCGTTCATTTGTGGTTGTTTTGCGTCGTTATTTGCCAATCGCAAAGTTCTGAGTGAATCAGCTTTGCTCGGATGCGAACCGATAGTCTCTCTATAGCGACGAGCAGTGCTGATGTAAACCCTCAGCCATTCGAGAGGATTTTTCATGCACTGGCGAATATTTTGTGCTACTCTGCACCAGCGGCTCTTCCTGTTGGTCCTTCGACTAAAAGCCCTAAATTCATCTCGCCGACCATGGAGTCGAAAGCCACCTTCTGCAATGGCTGCCGGCTCCTCTTATATAGACCAGTCTCGCATTGTCGATCAAGAGATTCGAGGCTATCGTGGATTCATTCACATATCCTATCAGATTGAAGACGACTTCCCCTTGCTTCCCAATCTAATAAAATCGGCGTAGAATGGATGTTACATGTGCTTTCGTCAAACAGGTCGTTCAGAGTCACTGCAAGTCAGACCCAGCTCTGGCAGGACATTTTAAAAGGGGGCAAAACAGACTCAAGAACTGGCCTCAGCAAAAATCCAAAAAGCTGTGCCATGTATTATCTAAATACCTCTTGCGCGGCTCAAAATGGTTGCGAGACATACGTACAGCGGAACCCTTCCGGATCTGTGGCCAGGTTCACCTCGAGGGTATTGACAGTGCGATCACGATAGAAGTGGGCGCTGATTTGGGTAAGTCATCATGAGATTGTTGATGGCCGAAGACTAGCTAATCTTGGAACCCCTCCAGAATTCTTGAGAGCGTTTCCGAAAAGGTTCGCATTGACGACCAAAATCACTCGGAATGATGCACCAGTGGATGGGTACATGCGTGGAGTCCAAATCAAGCGAACATGTAGGTTGTTCGAAATCGGAGGAAAACCCTGCCCCATTGCGGCTTCTCGAGGTGATGGATGGCGATACAGTCCGGCTGGTCGAGACGGAAGGAAGGAGTCTGACTTGTGCAATCTTGAGCTATTGTTGGGGTGGTTCATAAGCTTTGGAAGGGGGCGGAGCGAGAAAAAGGGACATCGCGATTCGAGCCACAGGTTTCCCCCTCCGCAGCATACCGAGATGCTTGAGGACGTCATCATCGTCGCGCGCAGGCTTAAGATACAATACATATGGATTGACAGCATGTGTATCGTCCAAGACTCAGACGAAAAGTGGTGCACAGAGTCTCGACGGATGAGCTACTACGAAAATTCGTACATTATGATCATCCCTGTCTTATGTCACAGCGCGGATCAAGGTTTTCTAGGACATCGACCACGCTTGATCACCAAACACATAAGCGGAACTTGGGCTAGCCGGCCTGAAAAGGCTCTACATTTCTACTATGCGCAACGGGAGAGTGTGAGACACGAAGCAGCTGATTCTTGTTGGAAAACACGTGGTTGGACCTTTCAGAAACGCCTCCTTTCTACCCGGATCTTGTACTTTGGGCGTAATAGCGTCCGATTCGAGGGCCGCGGTGCTATCTTCGAAGAAATGAACCTGCGGCGATCTGCCCAAGACGACTATCGAGTATTCTTCGCTTCGCCAAACCACCAGTCCTCCAAATGGAATGAGATGGAGAAATTCCGGCTTTGATGGTATGAAATGACGTCCCAATATATCGAGCGTCAGCTCTCAAACGAGCACGATATACTGATCGCTCTATCGGGCGAGGCACAGAAGTTTCCAATTTACTTTGGTGCAAATGACGAGTACATGCTTGGACTCTGAAAGAACGATTTATGTCATGGCTTATGCTGGAGTGCCTGGCGTGGCGAGGAGCAGCGTGTATGGTCGCTGACAAAGTCTCTATCATTCCCCTCTTGGTCCTGGTGCTCGACGCAGAGACCACTGCTTTGGTCTGACGGAACCAGCTCCCTTCAATGCACCGATCTGCTTGAAACGGTCAAGTCTTCTTGTGTCAATGGTGAGTACACGAAGCTCCTATTCGACGCTTGGGTGTTCCCATCAACTCTGCTAGAATTCAGGCTCCCCAATGGTCTGGAGATGCACATCTACCTTGATGCAGAAGAGGAGGAAAGTGACAACTTCGCGGCTCATGGTGAACAAATGGCAGTTGTGATGACAGCATATCTTGCAGATAGCAGCAATGAAAAGCAATGGAGAACACCATCTGCAAAGGCCCTGCATGAAGTATGCGGTCTCGTGATGGAAAATGCTGGAGCCTTTCACCGCGGCGTTCCTGAGTACTACCGGATGGGGACCTTTGATGTTATGCGTGACTGGCAAATGGAAGTGGACTCAATCGAGATTCATGAGGGCGCAGCCACGCCCTTCTTCGAACAGGTGTATGCATCTCAATGCACGATTGCCCTTGTTTGAGGGGAGTGACTGCGCTCTCACTGAGATAAATAGGAATCTAGTGGCTGGAAATGGACAGTAAGGCAACGAGAAACCTAGGCTCTACAGCGGCGCATCGAAGCTGCAGCTACAACCAACTGGGCGGGATCCTGCGAGAAGAAGTTTTGGATTTTTGGTTATAACTGACAAGCGACTAAACACTTCATTTTCATTTGGCCTTAAACGCGCCTCTCCAATGCAGCCATTTCGGAACGGTGGCCAGCGCCAACCCCTTTGAAGTACAGACTGCGAGGGTCGTTTTTTGGGTTCCTCGACCGCGATGTTTGCGGAGGAGAGAACTTTATGGCAGCTGCGCTGAGGCAAGGAGTCGCATCATCTCAGTCTAGACTCTATAGCTCCTGACGGCCTACCCAAGTGCTAAAGCCGTTCGAAGTACGTTCCTCAGCCACGACGCTCCGCCGTGCTTGCCTTCGCCGAATTCCTTCGCTCGCCAGACAACAATCCCATCAAGACGAACCAGGACTGCCCCAGAGCTATCTACACCACGCTGAGAAGCCCATTTTCCGTTCCTTCCAGAGAGACTCCTCACTGTTTGCCTTTTCACCAGCATCCGAGATTCCGATCAAGTTCACTAGACCACCTCCTGCTTCCGCCACGACTGTTTTCCACAACCCCGGGCGCGAGGCGATCAGGACGAATCCGTCATACTTGACCATATCCCTGGTTGACAACCTCTCGTTCCCCTTCTCCAGCCATGCATGCGGTAAGTGATGTCCCGGAATAATCGACGGATGGTAGTACAATAAATCCAACCGGCCACTGTCCTTGAGCTGTCCGTCGTGATTAGTCTCCTTGCCTTCTCCATTGACATCTAGGTCGGGATAGAACCAGCCAATCTCCGCCCCAAGGGCGTGGAACTCGTCGTCAAGAATCTTCTGTGCACAGTGGACTGCCTTTCGGCGTGCGGCGCCGTCCGTATTTGGGGGCGACATGTCGAAGAATGAATCCATGTTCGCAATGTTTTCAACCCGGCTATTTTCAGTACAGACGCCGATCGCTTTATCCATCACCAGTCCGAAAGCACGCAGATTATGCAATGCACAGTCTCGTACGTGTTGGCCGATAGGACGGCGCTCGGACTCATATGTGTCAAGCAGTGCATTGCAATCCCCCTCTGCTCGGAGGGATGACGGGATCCCGTTGATGGCAAAATTCAACTTCCACGCCAGGTTATCCACGTCTTGAATGCCTGTGTTAAGACCCAGCGCTCCCCAGGGAGGGATCCGGTGTGCGGCATCTGTTGAATAAAGACTCTTTCACCTCACCGCAAACGGTTGACTGCAAACGGACATAGAAACATCTATAAGTATGTGTCTATGTCCCCAGGTAGATCATAGATCCTTAAGCAATCAGATCATCCTTTCAAACAGCATCTCCAACCAGGAATATCCGGTCTGTGGATTTCTTGCTCCGGTATCGTGAAGAGCACAATGCGTTGACATACCAGTGATTTATGGATAACAGGTCAACGTCCAGGTCAGGAATTTGCAACGTATTGTGCATTCGTTTCAGCATCGCAGACTCATCGAAGCGTTTCGGGCCTGCCGGGTTGAGACCACATGCAAAGAGCCATTCCTCCGTATCGGTCGAGATGGGATAAGGACCCAAGTGGTAGAGGTATCCTGACCCGATAGTGCCACCCAGCTTCGGGTTGACGAACCAGGTAATGAAGTTGCGGATGTCCGGGTGTCAAAGAGATAAGGGAGCCCGAATGTGAACGGATACCATGTCGACAATGTCCCGTTCGCCCTCTCATCCAATGGCTAGGTCATCTATCAGTCTGCGACCACCGTCGGCGGCGATACAGTATTGTGCTTTGACTGTCACCGGCTCCTCGCCTTTCCCGAGAGAAGTGACGATGACGTGGCCACTAGCTTCTTCGACTTTTGTAACGTCGGTATTGTAAAAGATCCCCCCCGGATTCAATTCCAGTGCCCGTTTCTGCAATATCGGTTCGAGTCGGATTTGTGGCATGGTGGAATACTGACAAGGCGAGACAGAGGTATATTCTTCCTCATAGGCTCCGCCACCCCAGGAGTCGCGGCTGACGGTTTCCCTCCCATTGGGTCCAAAGCTGGTATACCAGGCTGTCCTGCTGACCATGTCCAGTGGAGCGCGTTGCTTGGTCAGCTCCTCTTCGATGCCCATGGGGCGCCATATTTCCACTGTGCGGTGATTATATCCGCAAGCTCTCGGGTGGATGGATGTTGAAGGATATCGTTCAAACAGAACGTGGGGGATGTTACACAGCGAAAGCAGGATCGAGGCAGACAGGCCAGTGGGGCCCCCTCCAACGATGGCGACAGAGTAAGTTGTGGAAGAGTTCACAAGTAGAGAATCCATGGCTGGCGTAAGATCGAATCATTTTGGGAGTATCAAGTTCGGTGCTGAGAGTCGTAGGGTAGCAAAGGGGATGATATAGGCTTCCCCAGGCGGTGCTTTACCGTCGCATCCTTCTGTCAGACAACGTAATCAAGCTCGAAACCCCGAAGTTGAGGAGGTGTTGAGATATGTGATGACGGCGCTGAGCATCAAGTGGGCCCCGTGAGAGCATCAAGGCGGAAAGTCGTAAAGATGACTTTCAGGCCCTCGAGCCTGAGCGTGCAACCGAGGGCTTATGTACGTCCTCAGCCTGCTGCTTGTATGGTTGAACACGATTGCTTCTCTGCATTGTGGAAGGATCAGCTCCGCGAGGTGGTGTATATACAAGAGCTTTTTGGGGAAGACGGGGGGCACGAGGCTCTCGACAAGAATAGGAGATTGAGTGCGAACCGTGTATTTGTTGGCTAGTCAGGATTCGAATTTAGCCGATCTTTTGTGCACAGCGACGACGACGACGACGACGACGACGACGAGTGGGATCAGCAGAATAAAGTCGAGAGTCGTGATTCGGGGCGACTTCGGCAGGAACTAAATTCCACCCCCCGAAAAGCTTCCTGATTTTTCTTCGACATGGCCAACAATGTTAAACGGCGCCTTAAAATCCTAGGAGGTGGAACTTTGGGCGGAGAAGAACAAGTTTTGGGCCAACGAGGTTGAAGACTCGGTTCACGGCTGTGCGCGGTGATGGCGGCATCAAAAGATGATATCACCACGAAGGACTTCGCTCTCACAACCGTTTTAGCTCTAATCGAGGACTACCACTCGTTTAACCCAGACACCACTGTCCCGACCTACGCATACCCGACACATCTCGAATTCAGCAAACAGGTCGCTCGGGGCCGACCGTGCGTGTATCGTCTTGACCGCACCGTTGTTCAAGACAGCCATGCCACCAACAAGGGAGGAGCCAGAGGAGAGACCAATGACAAAGGCAAGGATGAGTTCCTCCAGAATGATGAGGAGAAACAAAAGCCTTCGTTTCTGCAAGATGTCGAATGTCGGCGCCTCCGAGAAGAGCAGCGGTCCATCCTGTCGGCGCCGTGTTGGAGCTGGACGAAGAAAAGCCTCTGTGACCTCGTGCAGGAAGAGGTCGAGGTCGCTGTGACACCGGACGGGAGGGCAGATGCGCTTTACTCGCTTCCTCTGCGGAGACTTCGACCCCGAGCACAGGGACATGCTTTAGACAACGAAGGTGGGAAGCAAAGAGACGATCATGTCGGTGGTCATGGTGACGAAAGGGGACAAGCAGGAGTCGACCAGCAAGACGAGAGCGAATGCGAATGCGAGGACGAAGGCGTGGGCGAAGGCGAAGCAGAAGCAGAACAAATCTTTCTTCAACCCGCCACAACATCCATGACGCTTTCTACGCTCATTGACAGGCTCTGTCCTTCCAATGTATCGCCATCGCCGTCGCCATCGCCAGTTTACTACCTCCAATCGCAAAACTCCAACCTGCACACCTCCCCCCTCTCACGCCTCCTACCTTCTTTACCACCGACGCCTCCACCCTTCTCCGCCGCCGTGCTCGGTGCCCCCGAGGCCGTGAACCTGTGGATCGGCAACGCTTCGTCCGTGACCAGCACGCACCGCGACCCGTACGAGAACCTGTACCTGGTGGTCAAAGGGCGCAAGCGGTTCGTGCTGTTCAGCCCCGTCGAGGAGGTGTGTTTGCACGCGCAGAGGGTCCGGACTGGGCGGTGGCGGTGGGTGTTTGTTGATGATGATGACGGGGAGAAGGGGAAGTTTGAAGTCGTGATGGACGACGACGACGACGATGACGATGACGATGGCAATGACGACAATGACAACGACAACCGCATCCCCTGGATCCCCATCGACCCGCTCCGTCCCCCACCAGCCACATCTCAAAAGTTCCCATACTACAGACACGCGCGCCCTCTCAGCGTGACCGTCTCTGAGGGAGAAATCCTGTATCTCCCCGCGGGCTGGTTCCACCATGTTTCTCAGGAATGCGGATTCTGGAAGGGCCATGAGCAGGGCGACAATGACGATGCAACCGCGATGGTGGCTCCGTGCATAGCGGTCAACTACTGGTTCGACATGGACTACTCGGGGGAGAAGCATGTCATGAGGGAGATGGTGGGCCGGTTAGTTGAGAGAACCCGGATTGCTACTGAAAACGGATGAATCTGACTTGGTCATAATGTCATCAATCCAAAGTTCATTTTCTATTCCAAAGCTAACGAGGGCAGCTTAGCCGGTGGTCCTGGGAGCCGGCCTCAACCAGAAGGAGCTGCCAAAGAACGTTTGGTGCGAATGTCCCTTCGCTCTCGTTTATCCCATCTCCGTTCTGACTGGGCTCATTTATTCTTTTTAATTCACTCGGTACAGCATCAGAGGGCTCCTTTTATCATCTCATCACCCGGTCATGATCTTGCCAGGCCATCCCTAAATGGGAGAGCACGTAGCAATTTAGTTCACACCCTCAATCTTCTCCAAGATCGATGGGAAGTGCTCCCATTCGTACATGATCTCGACGCAGTTGCACTGTTCCCGGAGAACTTGGGCCATCTGGTTCATCTTCTCCTCGCCATCCTCTAACTTGTACACTCCGACGTACCCGATACAAGGGATGCCAGCACGCATGGCGGCAGTGGCACCACTCTTACTGTCTTCAACAGTGATACACTCATGTGGCTGGACACCGAGCTGCTCGCACGCAAAGTGGTAGATCTTAGGGTCAGGCTTGCTGGAAGGCGGGTTGAGAGAGGTGGCGGCACTGTAGACGTGCTGGTTGGGGAAGTAGTGGTCGATCTTGACCTTCTCGAGAGAGGCAACAACGCGTGGTTTGGCAGAGGTGCTGACAACAGCCATGGGGTATCCGGCCTTGTGCAAGCGCTCCAATTGCTCAGGGGCACCAGGGCATGGTTGACACTTTGCGGAGAGTTTGGCGGTGACTGCTCCAAGCTCCTTGTTGACATATTCCTCGAGCTGCTCTGCGGGCATCGAAAAACCATGCTTCTTCTGGAGACCGACCATCATACCACGGAAGTTCTGACCAACAAAGGTTTCGAGGAGGCCATCGACCGTGTAGCGATCGGGGACGCTGTACATCTCGAGGAGTTCATTCGTGAGGTCGGTGCAGGCCTCGAAGGCGAGACGCTCAGACAAGCAGAGGGTGTTGTCGCAGTCGAGGAGGACGTACTTGACCTGTAAGAAGACATATTGTTAGTCACTATCGCAGACTCTGTTTGCGTGACAGTGGCGAGCAAATGAGCGGTCAACGGCATCTGTTTGGTCATGGCGGGGTAGAGAGGAACAGGAAGGCTTACCTTGCCCATGTTGACAGTGATAATCAGCGAATCTGAGTCTAGAACAACAAAAGGAGAGAGATGAAGAGCAAGTCTATAAGATGAGGATGAAAGAAGAAAGCTACAGCAGAGGTAGTTGGTGTTTGAAGAGTGAAGGGAGGATCGTCAGAGCACAGGGTGGGATGTGACAGTCTGATAAGTTTTTGTTTATGGGAGAAACGGTGACGGCGATCGGGCAGCGGCGGGCAACGATTGGCGGCGGGCAGTGACTGGCGATTGGTGACTAGTGGGGGGCACTACTTGGGGGCACCAGGGGCTCCTAAGGCGGGAGGGTGAAGCTGGGGAAGCCGCCACAGCCATTCAAGAGCTGAGGATATTCAGTAGGGGGAACGCAAGGGGCGGCATGGGGCGCCCTGGTGGCTCTTTGACTTTGCGCTCTGGGCTGGTGGGCTTGTGGGCTTGTGGGCTTTGGCGGTGCGGCGTGGGTGCCAGCACTTCCAGCGGTTCAACATCTTGACCATTGGCCTGAGGTACGTCATATGCCTCACAATCTTTTCGTTCTCGTCAACAGCGTATCAACACGGCCACGTGAGACTACTGCCCAAGATGGCGGTGAAAGATATACCAAGTAGAACATTATGAGAGCTCCATTCTCGGTGCTCCTGCGACACTATTTTATCTAGCTTCTCTTCCCGCTCACCTTCCGGGTGGCAGATCCTCCAGCCTGCATTGTTCTAGACCTTCCTCAGAGCCCAGTCCAGGTCTTTCACCGCAGTCCCGGAAGGCTGATACCTGCAGCCGGAGAGACTTGCTTTTATCGTGAGCTGGGCCATATGGCTATATCTCCCCAAGAGGAAATATTTCCACCTTGCGGTCCGTGAGACGCACCGAGTGACCAGAGAAAAGTACCTTGCCTGTGTCGCAGCGTTTGGAGACGGGGGGGTCTCTTCACATGACCCGAGAATGGTCCATCCTGCTAGGAGTCGGCCGTTTGCTGGAGCATGAATGCTTCGTTTCGATCGCGAAGCGGGCACTTTCTCATTCGGAGACCAGCTCAAGAGCCCCTTCCAGGTGTATTCTGTTCCTCCGCAACCAACCAGTTTGCTGCGGGAGATTGTGCATCTTTGAGACTCGATTGACCTCCTTCTTGAAGTCTTGAGGCCGGTTTCGGCTTCAGAAGCCTCTTCTAGCACCCCTTCCACCTCGGTAGCCACCAGAATCTGGAAGTCTTTCTCCTCGCCTCCACTCACCGCTTGGTATATTGCCCGTGCCGCCAAAGTCGCCTCTTGAACCGTAGCCATTGAAGCTTCCCCTACCACTCATACCGTACCCGCCTCCTCGTACTCTCCCGTAGCCATTCTCTCTGGAACCTCCTCTGCCACTGACACTTCCTCGAGAAACCACGGTGCCATCGCTCAAGGGAGGAAACACAGCGCAATCGATAAAGTCTCCTATGACAAACCGCGCATCTTCCAGTGTCTTGCTCGCGTCATCTCCTTCGAGCTGAACGCGGCGGCCGCCGCCACCTCCACCGCCATCACCGCCGCCATTAGAGTATTCTGGCGCCGACACAACGATGCTCCCTATCTCTCTACTCAGGTACCTTCCTCGCCCCTCACTTTCTAGTCTCCCACCACCACCGCGGCTGGCATGGACATCGTGGTAGACGAGTCTGAAGTTCAGTCGCGTTCCAACGGCGGGGTCCGGTAGGATCTGCGGCAGCGCCTGCGTCAACAGAAGCGCGAGCTCTCTTAAGGTACAGCTCATCCAGGTGTAGATTTGCAAGTGGGCAGGTAGGTGAGGGTGCGGATTTGAGGGAGTCGGCACGGGGAAGTCGGTCAGGCTGTGGAAAGCGGAGGATCGGTAGCAGAAATTCAACAGGAACGGCGTGGTGGTTTGTCGATCAATGGTGGTCTTGGGAGGTTGGGGGGTCGGCGAGCGCGACATCGTAGGAGATCTATTGATCACTTGGAGGAATCTATCGCAGGGAGGACCGGAGAAGAGAGGATTGTGCAAAGATATCTCTTGTGGGAGTGTGATTCCTCAAATTTGTCTCTAGGCCAAAGTGCGTCCGAGGGGTAAAGAGGACATGTGGTGACGGAGGTAGAAGCAGTTCATGAACCGTAACTAATCAATGCAGCTGGTCGAGGTGAGACAGAGTATGTGAATGAGGTAATATGATATCCTCTCTTGTATTTCTGCACGACAATATGCAATGGGTGCAGAGGAGAAGTGATGGATAATAATGCGATGATGGACGCGACTTTTCTGCGCACTCTCCCCGGTGGCGGGCGCAGCCGCGGTAGTACGAGGTACGTGTACCTAGTACCCAAGAGGTACGTAACTCCCAAGTAATACACAACTAGTACTTGTACGGGGTGAGTGGGGAGTGACCGGGCTCAATGTCGGCTGAGCATTCTCCCCAGGTAGTGTGCCACCTTTTCAACATTCACAGAGGTGTTCAGATCTCGAGCTGAACCATGGTTGACTTGATCGGTCCTTGATCCATGTCTTTGGCGACCGAGAACTTGGCCCCTTCCGGCCTCTCAGTAAGCCTCTACTTCATCCTCCACCTAAACCTCCACCTCCGCCCAGACATCACAGCCCATTTCCTCGGCCTCGCAAGAATCAACCCTGACCTGTAATGCATTCGCAGTCCCTAGACCATGTCTTTGGTATTGGGGCAGCGTATGGCGTACGGGGTACGGCGAGATGAAGCTGGTTGGTGCCCGTAAACACGATCGAAAAGCTCTCTCTGTGAACTCGACAAGCCTGATGGCCAAGGTTTTCATGCAGGTGAAATCAGCGAAAGTTCCATACGGTGACCCAGGGCCATCGGATCGTGAAAGCACTCATCGCCGACAAAGAGCACCCATCTCAGGACGTGACATCAGGCTCGTCCAGTTCAGTTTTCTTCCTCGCCGTGCTCGACAGCATCCTGCTGAACCACTCCTCTCCATCGGGATGCAAGAAGTCCGTGTACAGAAAGCCTCTCAGCACCGTCCTCACTTCATCCCACGCCGCCACTCCGAGGTTCACGGCCTTGGTCGCGAAATGCGTCATGAACCAACAACCCGTATCCTCTGGCTTCATGCCCATAGACCATTCCGCGCTGGCCCCCACGTACAGTGCCCACAAGCGCGGGTTCTCGTATCTTTTATACTCGGGGGAATTAGGGTTCATGCTCTCACTCAGCTCGAGCAATTCTCGCATGTTAGACAGGATGGTGGATGTGGCGTCGAAGAGCCGCACACCGCACACGGTCGCGTTGAAGGAGATGGAGCGCATGTATAGCAGCGTGCCCAGTGAGATGTAGCCCTGGCACAAGGTGGGATGGATAAGATGTGGATGAGGAGAAGGAGGATGAGGATGAGGCGGATTGGCGTTAACGTGATGCCTTGCCTTTGCCTCGAGGAAGAAGTTCACAAGCCGCCCCTGGTGCAGGTACACCCGGACGAGCAACCAGCCCATCAGCGAGGTCGAGTGACGGGCGGACTCATCGCCGGAGGAGCCGGTTTGGAACAGCCAGACCGCGAGGCTCTCTCGTCGCTCGATGAACAGCGTGCGAAGTCCTGGATTGTCGACGATTGACCGATCCAAAAAGCGATCTTTTACTCCAGACAGGTCTGGTAGGTAAGGTTGCGCCGCGTCAACCACCGGCTGCAGCCTCCTGGGGAGCCATTCGTCCACGTCGAATATGGGTCTGCAAAGGAACATTGAGGATCGGTGTACGTCGTGATAGATCACGTACAACAGCAAGCTTACATCCAGCTTGTCTCCATCGTGCTCAAAGTAATGCCGCAATATGGTGAGATGGGCCCCAGTGCCGGCGCGGTTGCCGCTCAGTGTGTCCGCGCCCAGAAGGAGATTGATATGCCAGTAGAGCTGTCCGCGATGGACAACCTTGCCACCGGCAGCAGTGGTGAGACGTTTTCGCAGCACGGCCATGCTTTTGGTGCGGTAATATACGGCTTGCCTCTGGATGGCGGGATTTCTCGATACCACGGCGGCCTCTGTCGCGCAGCTTGCGATAAATCCCGACCCAGCACCTTCGTCCCCAAGACCGTCGACCCCGTCGCCCAGCCCGTCAATGCAGTCTCGCCAGTCCCGCCACGCACTGGCGCTTGTCATCCAATTGTGCTTGGTAGTGTGGTAAAGTGTCGGTATGACGAAGTCGCGGTGAAAGCTTAGCATGCCGTTGGCGCTGGGCGTGATTTCGATGGCGTAGGCACCAAAAGGGTCTGAATTGCCTTTGTCTAGAATCGTCATGATGGATTGTGGTTGGAGTGGTGGTGTTTTCATCTCGTGCGTTAACGTTGCGAGATCAGGTAGCTCGGACTCCTCTTCCTCCTCCTCGTTGATGAGAGAGTGAATCGCGATCTTTGTACGCGCTTGTTGCCTGCTCTCAGCTTCAGAGCCTGCTGCTTCTGAACCTTGCGCATATCTGGTAGGTTTCGCCTTTGTTGTTGGCTGGATACTATCGAGCACGGGCACCTCTATCGAAGCAGGTTCCTTGGCTTTTACCGACGGCTGAGCGTCGGACAAGGGGGCCTTTATCGAAGCCCGCAGAGCTCGCATCTCTTCTTGCCGTTTCCAGTTGCGATATTTGCTCTGCACGTGGGAGAAGACTTTCCGCCGGTTGGGCGAGGCCTTCATCTGACTTGCACTGTGGTTGACGAAAAGGAAATCGCCTTCGAAGGGTCGTTCGACTGGCATCTTTCACTTCCTTCGGAGGGGACAGGTCTCAGGCAGAACCAATGGTGCATGTAGCACACAAATACAGAGTTTTAGGGAACACTTACACCAAATCGAAGCTCTCTCTATACCTTCAGGTTTTGGTAGTGGAATTCAAGGACGGGAGAGTCCGGCCAGTGAGTGATGGACGTCCACTCTGCGTTTCTCCCCGTACGAGAAACACGAAGCTGACAATCCGCATCCAAGTCTCGGCCCCATGGCAACAAGCTTTTCCCCCGCAGCCTGGGACTGGCAATATGACAGACGGGAGGATTGGCCCTTTAACCAAAGTAGGCTGGTATAGGGAGCGCGTGTGGGAGGCGGAAGAAACGCAGCCCCAGAATCCTTCCTCAAGGAAATCTGGGACGGACTGACAGGAAGAGGCTGCTGTGGTTGGCTGCTGAGTAATCTGCGAAAGGGCGACCGCCGACGACCTGTTCCTTCAGTGGTGTGAGCGAGTAATCACTCCGAATAAAATAAAGGCGGTGACAGTGTGGGATTGACGAAGTTATTGTGGCGTGAGAGCAAGACAGATTCAACCTCCGTCGGTGGAGATGAAGGGAGGCATGATTTCTTTTCGCTTGTCGAACCCAGCCCATTGCCGATCATCCCCCAGGGCATCGAGATCCAGAGAAAGTAACAGGATCCCGCGCGTGGGTTGTTGGGGTTTCAACCCTGTATTGCCTTCTCCACTGTTGCCAAATTGTTTGACGGACCAGAGCGCGTGCAGAGCGCGTGCTTAGCGAGATATATATATCATAAGCATCCCGTATATACATACCCAGGTAGGTACTATAAAACAGACTATGTGCTGTGTTTCACGCAGCCTCGTTCCCCTATCTATCTCTATGCATCTATTATGTCGACGCGAGAATTGAGAGATACATAAGTATCCTCGTATCCAAGCCAAACAACCCCGCATTCACAGTCGTCGACTCTGGATTCTGGAGAACCAAAGTCGTATAGCCGAAGCCTATGCATTGCATATCCACGTCACTGGAGACGTCGTCATGTTCTTTCTGTCCCATACTGTTCCTTTTCCTTTTTGCAACTTTCAATCCTCTACCTTGTCCCTTGCTCTGTATCTAGTACATGTTGCTCCAGTACTCCCAACCGTCGTCTTTACAACCACACTGCTGTCGCCGCACCCACACCGTCGCCCAGCTTCGTCCTCGCAGCCTCTCTAATTTTGTCCCCATCCCAGCCCAAGACAAAGACAAATCCTTGCTCACTATCCGTCAGCGCCAGATACTCCACTCCGTCCACGGTCGGACCGGGTTGGATTGCATTTGCCCAGCCACCGCTTGTAGGCGTCTTCCACAACTTCAGCAAGCCCCTGTACTCGGGTGATTCCGGCTTTAGAATTGGGTAGCTTCTCATAGGAGGCCTGTAGGTGTAATCGGGCTCGAGCGAAGTGTCGATCTTGCCTTCCTCGGTCAATTTGTACACCGCGACATATCCTTGCTTCCCCTCTTTCAGTCCCCGTACGCTTGCGTACAAATACTTCGGTTTGCGTCCCGAGGACAAACTCGTGCGTACCTCGTCAGCCCAGAAATCACTCGGCTCGTCATATTCACGGACAATTCTCACCCCCTGTTCGTGCAGCAGATTCACGCCCCTGTTGGTGGTGGAGAACACGTCCACCATGCTGCTGTGTTCTTGTACGCAATAAACGAATTTCCCACTCGGATGGGGCCAGACGTGTCTTGGTCCGTCCCCGCTGCGAGGTGATTTGTGCATCTCAGCTCGGGTTAGTGCTCCCGTTTCAGGATCGACGGAAAATGTCCAGATACAGTCCCGACCGATATCTGCAACATACAATGCGCTGCCGTCGGGCGACAGATCTGCGGAATGGGCGCCGTGACGGAGTCCTCCGAAGTCCATCACGCTGCCATCATCCCGTTGTGGTTTCGAAAGGGTGAAAGAGAGAAGTTGCAGTGGCTGGATGTCTGATGACTTCCCTGCTCCGTTTTCTCGAGCACCATCAAACTCAGGTGGGGGGATAATGTTTCCGGTCTTCGGATCGAGGCTGAAGACCTCTCCTGTAGCTCCGCCGGCTGAATACAAAGCTTTTTCACTGGCTGTGACATAGCCACTGCGAGATCGAGTTGGTGCACTGTCTAGCAACTGAATATCTGTCGGCGATTTGACCACATAGGCGACTACGGCGGGAGGCTCCGTCCACGCGGTTGCGTAGAGGTTCCGGGTTCCGTCCTCCTTAAGAGGAGAGAGATGGAGCCAGGAGTGAGACCCGACGGCAGAGGCGCAATGAAGCACTTGGAGATCGCCTGATGACTCCTTCGAGGACGCTGAAGCAGGGGTAAATCTAAGTGTATAGAGCTCAGGGGTGTTGAATGTGCCGACAAGGAAGTCGAAGCTTTGGGCCATGGTAGAGGAATGAGGCCTTTTATGGACAAATCGTGGAACGAAATCCTCAAGGCGTTCGAATATATCAGGTTACGGGTTTCTTTATTCAAGTGATGTAGTCAACCTGCTCCCCGCTTTGATGGCCCTAAATGAACCAGCCTGTATATATATTTGGCAATCGGATCAACGCCTAGCGGCGAGTGGGAGCCGCAACCGAGGCGTGGGCAGGTTTGACCTTCCGCTTTTCGGATGGGTTCAGCGGCTTGGAACGCTAAGTCGAACGTCTATTTTTCGGATTTATAAATTCGGATTTTCAGGCTTTGTAGGCGGCCAGCGTTTGGGGCTAGAGGTTGGATGTCATGCTAGGGAGGGACGATGGGATGAAGGCGTAGTCGTGTTTGGTAATAGATATCACAGCTTTACATGCCAATCTACGTGAGCAGCCTCAATAGGCATGAAAGAAATGAAACTGCATTACAGAGAACTAGCTAAGAAGGATAGGGTTCCGTGGACGGAGATGTGTAATGTGCGATCATGTGATTACTAAGAAGTTGCCATCCTGAGTTCTGTGACATACTGGTAGGTGATCTGGTAACGGAAGATGGATGCTTGTTGAATTCCTCGTTGCTCGTTCGGACCGGGACCGGGGCCGGATTTTAGTTGTTCCTGGAGTCTTATCCGATGGGCTTCCCGCCGAGTATTCTAGGTAGCATCGCGCCTCAGCCTTGTCCGGGGAATTGGACTCATTTCCACCGCTTCTCACCACATCTCTTCGCTCTGGGCTGGAACCTGCAGTATGTCAGCTTCCGCCGGTTTCCTCTCTCGCTCGATAGCGATGGTCCTGCATTGCAGCACTGATGAACAAACTAATGCGAAATACGGTGCTATACGCTCTCCATACTAGTACCCGAAATCCTGGGATAAGAGCCTCAAACGCCACCGATGCCACTAGCGTCAATGGTCACGAGCCAGCAGGAGATCCGGCATTGGGTCTTTGTCCTGGGATTGTAAGAGAAGGCATATGCTAACAGACAGACCACCAGAGCAAACGTTGAAATGCCCTCCCGTATTCTCATCGTGTACAGAGACTCAAAGGCTGGAAGAGACTCTGAGGAGCTTGCGGAAATAGTGCCACTTTTCATCTGTATATCCTTCGCTTGCTCCCTAGCGTCTGCACTGTATTTGCACATCGGAATCACCTCGTTGCGGATGTCCTGGCAGGCAGGAATTCTCCTGACTTTAGGAGTTCCACCTTATCATTTTTATTCACTATTGGGCTAGAATAAAGATCTGCTAGGGGCAAACTAAACCAAATCCATCCATGCCTTCTGTTGCGCCGTGCCTATTTCTATAGGGAGTTTCTTATCCCGTCATTGGTTACACAAGATTAGCCTCGCTCAGCCTCCGAGGCCAATCTATCTCAGCACCTGTTCATGGGCACTAAATTGCTGGCTGAGCAAAGGATAAGATAGGGCAACGGTGACGTCGTCGGTGTCGCCAATCCATCGGTTCCTTTTATTTTATGGTCGAAACAGAGCCCTGCTGGCATTGCTGCAGGGTAGAGCCGTCAATACATTTGTTCCGACTCTCACCTCAACCATGCTTTACAGAAAGCCTGCCCAGGAGAGCTTCTTTCTAATGGCCTCATCTTACTCATGTGGCGTGGCTGGTAAGTCGGTGTAAGCCATTAATTGAGATGCTTCAGCATTCAGCTAAGCCTGCTCAACAGATCATGTGCGACACCTGCTGAAAGACGTCCGCCAGGAAGTCGTTCCGACAAACGCGTCAGCGTCGGTTTGGCCAGCCACCATTCCTTGATTCGGACCAAGGGCCATTTCTGAGAGCATGGAGCCGGGATTCAACCAGTCTGTCGAATTGTGCCGATATGAAGTAGGTGGCATCCCGGGGATGTACATACAAGAATTCCATCCGGTGTAGATACCACCCGAGATCACCATCACCTTGTTGATCAATACGGACCATTGATTGGTACTCTGAAGGACTCTCCCGGTGGAAAGTGGGACATTGGAATCTTCTGCTCTAATATCAAAATTGGCATCATTTATGCTCAAGCCAACGGCGTCGATGTAAGCGGAACCGCCCACCTATGGTTGACCTTAAACCGGAGGTCATCAATAAACTAACTGATGGTGACGCAACCGGCCCTTCAGATATCCACAGCAGATCAGTCGCGAAGGTGCCTCCGGCGACCTCGCTATTGTGAAGAGATGATAGGTTAAAAGATTGGATAGCAGTAACTTCCAGCGCGACCCGAATGTGTTTGCGAGGTTTGGTTCAAAACAAGGACATACGCAGGTAAAGTTGACAAGGTCAAGGTCTCTGTGCTGTGCTAGAATCTCCCCAGAGTTTATTGCGGTACACGGCTCGAAAGTGGGCAGCGGTCGGGGATTGGCGACGACCGCAGGCACCATTCCAATAAACAGCCAGACGCTCCAGCTGAAGGTGGATATTCGAGCGCACTTAGCGACAGCGACATCTGGTGAGCAAGAGATGCAGAGGACCGGTCCGATGCCGAAGATGTTGATCATGGCGGCATATAATGCGTCTATGTTAAAAGGTGCTGAAAGGCTTCTTGGTTGACTGACCATGATGAT